TCTCTCTTCTAAAAAGTTCATTTGTTGCATGCTCAGGTCTTGCATCACTTTAAAAGTTTTCATTTTCAACCTTTCTTTCTCTTTAGGATCATCAAAATCAGGGACCTCAATTAGGTCTGCTATCTTTACCCCAAAGGTGGGGATAGTGTAACTGCGATACGGCGTTTCAGGATAGGTGTAAGCATATGCCCTAAAAAATGGTATGTATAGGGCCAGTGTCTCCTAAAAAGATCGACCTTGGTTTAGACCAAACCCAGTAGGGTATAAAGGATCCACAATATCTTGTCTTTCACTTAGATTAGGGGTCTCTTCTACTGTTTTACCCTTATCCAATTTTTTCAACATTTTCATCATCTTGGTCAACTATTTTTTTATCTCATCCTGAGCCTTCTCGATCTTGTCCATATGGGTATTCTGTTCCTGTTCCATTTGCTTTGCTCACGATCGAGTATTATATGGGTGATGTGTAGGTTGACTTGAATTTGCCGACGATCGAGCTATCCTTAAACCTTTGATTACCAAAAAATAAGATGCTTGCATTACTACATGCTCATGTCATGAAAGAAAGACTATAAAAATAATCTTAATATGATTTCAAGCTAACATATGCGAAATGAATGCCAAAAATATATGCAACCCAATTTATCCTGCTTAAAGTGAAAGAAAAATAGATGAAGAAGAAAAATCAACTAACTGCATTTTCATGACAATTCATACAATATGACAACAATAGTTATTTCCCACTCATGAAAATCAATCATTGCAAAAATGTAACTATGCTAATTGATTTTTCCTATGGAAGGGGAAGGAAGGCTCTAACTGCGGGTTAGGTTCCTCATGCTCACTATAATGTGGTTTTAAAGTTAATAGCCTAAAAAGTTTTCAAAAATTGTCTTCTTACAATAATTGTCCCATCATAGACTAGTAAGGCCACTTTAATCCCACCCAATTACAGGCTCAAGCGTAAAAAGGTTCAATTTAGTTGGAGTATTTCGCTAGCTCACTGCGGAGGCATTAGATTTCATGAAGCATAGTACTTTACTCCCTCCTAGAGGGACAGAGCTCGGGTATAAAGCTCTTGTTATGCTTATACATATGAATGACATAGTTAGCAAAGTAAATAAATAAAATGGATGAATAAAAAATATTTACAAAAAGTTCAATTTTATTAGGCTTTTGGATAACATAAATTTATTTGCTGGCCTAACTCTCAGCTGGTCCTCAGTGGAGTTGCCAAACTATCATAACGTCTAGATCTAAGGATCTATTGCTAGACATTGACTTGAGGAGTCACCACCAATATTTTTTGTTTAGGTGCGATTGGCCACCTAAATGAATTTGTCCCTTTTTAAAGAGAAATCCTAAGTTTGACTTAGGTATCTTTGCAAGGTAGATTCAATGTCTGCGAAACCAAAACTAGGTCTGGGAGTGTTGTTACATGTGAGGAAGGTTATAGCACCCCTACAACGCCCATCGAAAGATGGTACTAGCTCAATTTTGTAATATCAATTAACCTTAAAAACTTTACCAAGTAATTAATTATTGAAAATTATTCTTAATTGACTCCAATACTTTTGGCAGAAAATTAAGAAAATCCCTTCACCCCACGAGTATGCAAGAAAACTATTGTTTCTTTAACAGAGGCTCCGTTATCAGATTATTTGACATTTTAAAAAAATAAGAAAGGAAAAGAAAAAATGAATAATACTTTAACTTTTAATAGAGATCTCTTTTTATATGCTATTTTATAAGAAAAAAAACTTATGCTTTTGTACAAAGAAAGTTGATACTTTCAACTTTTCCTTAAAAATATTTTTTTTTTAATTTTATGTTCAAGGAAAATTGATACTTTCAATTTTCCCTTAAAATGCTTTTTGAAAATTTAGTTTCAAGGAAAATTGATACTTTCAACTTTTCCTCAAAAATATATTTTCTTGAAGTTTTTATTTTCAAGGAAAATTGATACATTTAACTTTTCTTCAAAAATTTTTTTTTGAAATTTTTATACTTTAAAGAGACTGTTCGGCTTATGGCTCAAGCTCCACTTGAAGATGTGTGCTAGTGGCACGGGTGGCAATGGAACACGGGCTAGGTTAACATAAACACTCAGGTCAGCTGAGTTTTTTAGCATCATTTCATGTGAATATGACAACCTAAAATTTTGCCTTTTACATTAGATTTCTAGCTTCTGCTCTTGCACTAGAAGCTTTTATTTTCTCCGACTCTCAAACTCAAATAAAAAAAAATAGTCAAAAAATTCATGTGTTCCCAAATTTCGATGCTAGCGCCACCACCCACTGTCGTCTTCCGTTGCCTGTTGGCCATTCACTGAAGATAAAAAAACTCCAAATTTTGCTAGAAAGTTGCTTGTCATCCTCTCTTTCAAGTGGTACAAGTTGTTTTCCACGATAGCGTCCCTATCTCTATGAATCGGGTTTGAACCTAATAATGGTAATGACAAGATCGACTTGGGCAAAAAATAAAAATTATGTTGGGTTTTTATTTCTATGTAATGGTTGCATATGATTGAGGATTAACTGTTATTGATGGCTTACTGGAAATTGGTGAAAAAATTAGGTGTACTAGACTGCTCTCTGTTAGTAGCTCATGCCTCTGTCCTGATTGTTGTTTGATTCTCTATGCATTTTAAACTTTATTGGGTTGTTCACTATTTAGTGCAAGTGACAAATGAGGAGATTTTAACCCAATTGGCTATTAATTTTTGCTAGGGATAGCGTCATTGGTTGGTTAGTTGATGTGGGTTTGCTACAACTGGAGACAAAGGAAAAATGATTTCAGCAGGTTGTTTCTTCCATATTTTCTATGTGAATTCCTATGGGTTTTTGTTCTCTTGAAGGTGGTGGCTTGGTGGTGATGAGAGTAGGCTATCAACAAAGAATTGGCATTGATGTAGAGATGGCAGTGTGGTATGGTGCAAATGGTGCTTGGTGGTGGTAGAAGAGACGTTCAGATTTAAAGAACTTGGCAGTTGAGCTTTCTTGATTTCACTTTCTAATTGTCCCCCTTTTGCTGTATGCAGTTGATGGTTTAAATAGGGTCAGTTTGAGGATTCAAAAATCAAAATCTTCTCATCCTCTTATCTGTTTATCCTTTCTTTTTCAAAAAACCATCCCAGTTTCAAAATTTAAAGTCCTAATCCTACCATTTTGCTAGGATTGAAACTCTGCTTCTATTTATCTTTTATTTATCTTAAAGCTTTACCAAAAAATGAGTGTCTACAGAGGTTCAACGACATTTTTAAAAATTAAAAAAACTCCTTTGAACAGAGGCTTAATGGCTTTTAAAAATTTAAAAAGGCTCATCTAAGCAGAGGCTCAATAACTTTTGAAAATTTAGAAAGTTTCATCTAAGTAAAAGTTCAACAACTTTTGAAAATTTAAAAAAGGCTCATCTAAGCAGAGGCTCAATGATTTTAAAAATCCATCTTGAAAAATCTCCTCTAAGTAGAGGCTCAACAACTTTAACAATCTATCTTGAAAAAGTTTCTCTAAGCAGAGGCTCAATGACTTTAAAAATCTTATCTTAGAAAAGCTCTTCCAAGTAGAGGTTCAAAAACTTTAAAATTCATCTTGAAAAAGCTCTTCTAGGCAAAGGTTCAACAACTTTAAAATTCATTTTGAAAAAGCTCCATTAAGTAAAGGCTCAACAACTTTAAAAATCTTATCTTAGAAAAGCTCCTTTAAGGAGAGGTTTAACAACTTTAAAAATCTCGTCTGTTCTCGAAACTGAGTTCTCAACTTTGAACAAGTAAAGTTCTCTCTTTCAAAACTTTTGTTTGATTATTATATTCATCCAAATATCAAAATCTTGTTTTTCATTAAAAAATGGAAAGTTTCTGTCCTTATTATAATTGTTCATGGATGCATGTACTGAGTGCTCTAAATGCAATGCATGTAATGCAATCAAAATTATTCATTATAGTAAAAAGGTTCTCAAAATCTCTTGCTTTTTTGCTTCTTTCATCAAAATTCTCAACAATTGCCATATGACCAATCTGTTCTTAACATTTAACCATTTTATTCTTCCCTAACAATATTTTTCTTCTTTGTCAAAATCAATGCCTTACCAAAAAAGGTCTTTTTCACCACGTACGAGCCTTCCCAATTTGGTGTCCATCTTTTTTAATTGTCATATTGATTTGGAAATATCTTTTTCAACACTAAGTCTTCTTCACTAAAGTGACGAGGATAAATTTTTGTATCATATGCTCTCATCATCCTCTTTTGATATAATTGACTATGACAAAGTGCTATAAGTCTTTTCTCTTCAATGAGGTTCAATTGCTCGTAATAATTTCGAACCCATTCTACTTCCTCTAACTCTACCTCTATCAGGACTCTCAGTGAGGAAATTTTTACTTCGACTGGTAGCACAGCTTCCATTACATATACCAAAGAGAACGAGGTGGCTTTAATATATGTTCAGACTAATGTTCTATAAGCATACAAAGCAAAAAGGTAACTTTCCATGCCAATCTTTGTAAGTATCAGTCATTTTGATATTCTTGTTTACAACCTCCACTGCTACATTCATCTTTGGACGATATGGTGTCGAATTATGATGATGGATCTTGAATTAAGTGCACATTTTACTTATCATTTTGTTGTTCAAATTTTATGCCTTATCAAAAATAATTGTCTCTGGAAGCCCATATCTACATATTATCTCCTTTTTTATAAACTTGCATACCACAAATCAGGTCACGCTAGCATATGATATAGCTTCTACCCACTTCATAAAGTAATTAATCAATCCAAAGATGAATCTATGCCCATTCAAAGCTTTTGGAGTAATGGGACCGATGATATCCATGCCCCACATAGAGAATGACCATGGAAATGACAAAACATGCAAAGCTGTTGGAGGGGCGTAAATCTTGTCAACATAAATCCAGCACTTATGGCATCTTTTGGCATAATCAATACAGTCATTTTCCATTGTCAACTAATAATAGCCAACCCTCATAATTTATCTAGCCATCATATAACCATTTGCATGTGCCCCATAAACTCTATCAACACTTCTTCAATAATCCTCTTCACTTCAACTGCACTCACAGACCTTAAGAGCACTTGATCTCTACTTCTTTTATAAAGGACATCTCCATCAAAGAAAAAACTCATAGCTAACCTTTTGATAGTCTTTTTATCATTTTCTGTTGCATGTTTCAAGTATTACTGATTTTTTATGTATTACATAAGGTCATGATACCATGGTTTCCCATCAACCTTTTCTTTGACACTTGAGCAATGTATTGGCTCATCTTTCACATCTAGCTTGATGGGTTGGATCTTAGTATTTGCATCTACTTTAATCATTATAGCTAGAGTAGCTAATACATCAGTAATTTGGTTTCTCTCTCTAGGCAGATGCTCAAATTAAACTTCTTCAAATTGCTTGACTAACTCAAATTTATATTTATGATACCAGATCAATTTAAAATCTCTTATTTCCCATTCTCTTTGCAACTGATAGATGACTAGAGCTGAATCTCTAAACACATCCAACACTCTAATCTTCTTTTTAATTGCTACTTGTAGACCCATAATACAGGTCTTGTATTCAGTCACATTATTTGTGCAATTGAAATTCAACCTGACCGTGATGGGATAATAATGTTCACTAAGAGATATTAAAATTGCCCTAATACCATGACCGAAAGCATTAGCAACTCCATCAAAATACATCTTCCAAGACTTTCTAACAAGTTTATTTTCTTCATTGGCCATCACATCTTCATTAGAAAAATCCAATTTCATTGGTTCATAATCTTCAGTTGCATAATCGACAAGAAACTCAGCTATTGCACTTCCTTTAATAGCCTTTTGAGTCACATAAACAATATCATATTCTAAAACCATAACTTGACACCATACTATTCTTTTCATCAATTAAGGCTTTTCGAAAATATATTTAATAGGATTCAATTTTGCTATCAGCCAAGTAGTATGATAAAGCATTTATTGTTGGAGCCTTCGAGCTATCTAGGCCAATGCATAACCCATCTTCTCTAATGGTGAATACTTGGACTTGTAATTAGTGAATTTCTTGCTCAAGTAGTAAACTGCTCGTTCTTTCTTATTAGTTTCATCTCTTTGCCCCAACACACATCCCATTGAATTTTCATGCACTATTATGAACAAAATCAAAGGTTTTTTCGGGATTGGTGGTACCAACACAGGTGGATTTGACAAGTATATTTTAACCTTATTAAAAGTTTCTTGGCATTCATCATTTCATTCTCCTAGATCATGTTTTCTAAAAAGCTTAAAAATGGGATCGCACTTGTAGGTGAGTTGAAAGATGAAATGAGCAATATAATTCAATCTCCTTAAGAAACCTCGCACTTCTTTTAGGGTACGAGGAAGAGATAAGTTCTGGATGGCTTGTTTCTTATCTGATTCCATTTTAATTCTTTTTTCACTGACCACAAAGCCTAATAATTTTCTTGATTTAGCACCAAATGTACATTTAGCAGAATTCAACTTCAGCTAAAATCTTATCAACCTGTTGAATAGCTTTTTGAGATTGACTACATGATCCTTTCTTTCATGAGATTTTGCAATCATATCATCCACATACACTTTCTATCTCTTTATGCATCATGTTATGAAGAGAGTTAATCACTCTCTTGATAAGTAAGCGTTAGCATTTTTTAATCGAAAAGCGTATGACTTTGTAATAGAACGTCCCTTACATGGTCACAAATGTGGTTTTTTCTATATCATCTCGAGTCATCTTGATCTGATTATAGCTTGAAAAGGCATCCATAATGTAAAATGTGAAATGCCTAGTAGTATTATCCACTAAAGTATCAATATGAGGTACAGGAAAGTTATCTTTGGAACTCGCCCTATTCAGGTCTCGATAATTGACACACATTCTCACATTTCCATCATTCTTAAGAATTGGCACTATGTTGATTATCTATTCAGAATATTTTGCCACCTTAAAAAATCTAGCATCAAATTGCTTTTTCACCTTATTTTTAATTTTTAGCAGCATTTCCTACTTCATATTCCTTAACTTTTGTTCTACTAATTTGCATTCTGATTTTAAAGGTAACGTGTGCTTTACAATATCAGTGCTGACTCCGGACATGTCCTAGTAAGACCACATGAACATATTTACACATTTTCGAAGTAACTATTTTAGCTTTTACCTTTCAATCAATAAAAAAGATATACCAACTTTAACCTCTCTTTTGTTTTCATTGTCCTCCAAATTCACTAATTTAGTAATTTCCTTGTGGGGCTCTATTGGCTTATCTTTATGTTCTATTAATTTTAACAAATCGAGAGGCAGTGCATAATTATCTGAATCTTTCTCATTATCAAGTTCGTCAACATGAATTAAGTTTTTGAAATCAAATTTGAGATTATTACCATGATTATCTTCATGCTCATTATTTAGGACCTTGCAAAAGGTAAAATGAAGAGAATATTGGCACATAAAAATGGAATGGCCAAAAAAAATGATTAAGGTAGAATGAAAAATGGAATGATTCGAAAGAATGAAAATGAAAATGAATAAAAGAAATGTAAACGCATCTTCTAAGTCTTTTATTAAAACAACAAACATAAAGACACATAAAAGATCACCTAATGCTCATAGAAAACAATTAAGGATTTAAAGTTCTACAATACATTACTTTTTAAAATTTTTAAAGATAACATGCAGCTCTATGACTCTTTAATTATTTAGCTCAAAATCTAAAAGACAAGAGTGCACGAATAGCTCTTCATCTTGACTTTTTTTTCTTCGTCATTCACCATTTGAATGGCCAGCTCTGAAAACTCTTCCACGAATCCTACACTTAAGGCTTCAGGAAAATTTGGATAAATATATCCTCCAAACAAAAATAATCATAAAGGTATGGAATGACCATAGGCTTTGACTTCGGCTCATATCCCCTAAGATTAGCCATTCTCTTATCTTTTTTCTCATTCACCTTTTTCATCCTATCCCCTTTTGTTAGCTTATATCCTAAGCTGAATCTATCTTTCTTGTCATATACTGCTGGTGGCTTTATGATTTCTTGTAAGTTCTTCCCTAGTCAAATTCCAAGTTGCCATCCCATTTCAATGAACTGTTTAATGACCATTTTAGTAGTCGTAGATAGGTGTGGTGAATATAATTTAGATCCTTCAGCCATGTACATTGCATTAGTAATCCCGAAAGATCTATATGAGTACTCCAGGGCTTTATCTATTATTTCTACATAATGAGTATTTATCAATTGGGTGACTAATAAATATTCTTCTATTACAACACATGTCAATTTTTTATCAATAATGAATTTGACTTTTTGATACAATGAGGATGGAATAGCACCCACCATATGAATCCATGGCTTACCCAACAAGCAACTATATCAGGAAGAGATATCCATAACTTAAAATTTCATGTTAAAAGTGCATGGGCCAATCTATAATGACATTTTTATGTCTTTCAGCACCTCTTTTTAGGTTCCATCGAAGGCTCAAACTATCATATGACTAGGCTTCATATAAGATCCATCAACAGGGAGTTTTGCTAAAGTAGTCATAGGCATAACATTGATGGATGAGCCATTATCGATCAAAACCTTAGTCATTATATGACTCTTGCATTTTACAGTAATGTGGAGAACCTTGGTACTTTTTCGACCTTCAAGAGGAATCTCTTCATCCCTAAAAGAGATATAATTTGAGATTGTTAGATTGTCAACAAGCTATTTCACATATTCAACAGAGATATTATGGGACACATATGCTTGATTCAGTACTTTTAGTAAAGCGTTACGGTGTGACTCCAAGCTTAGTAATAATGACAATAGTGAAATTCTAACTAGCATCTTGTTTAGTTGTTTTACCACGCTATACTGGTTATATTTTATTAGCTTTAAAAATTCACAAACTTTACTCTTAAAGAAAGGCTTTTGACATTCTTCATTTAAGGCTGCAATAGGATTACTCTGACTTTCTCTTTTTGCACTTACTTTTGCTTTTTCTTTTCTAGCTTTCTCTAAAGCTTCTGGAGTATAACACTTCCCACTTTGGGTTATACCTTTTACGCCCATTATGTTTGTAGTATTTGGATTAATTACAATATCATAATCATACTTCTACGGTACTACTTTATCTTTATCATTTTGGTATAAAAAAGGGCCAAAAACTTTAATTGTCACTACTGGTCAAGAGATGGGCTTTTTTAGCCTCGATGTCAACTTCTCATCATAATAAATTGTTATTGGTCTATGTACAAACTTATTTTTTGAATCAATGGTAGACACTTCAACTTTTCATTAACTCTTTTTTTTTTTCTTTTCAAAACTCTATCCGACCCATATCCATCAACTTTTGCACTTCTTGATGGAATTGGTGATAACTCTTGATAGAATATCCTAAAGTACCTTTGTGATAATTAACTCTTTTTTTTCTTCTCAAAACTCTATCCGACCCATATCCATCAACTTTTGCACTTCTTGATGGAATTGGTGATAACTCTTGATAGAATATCCTAAAGTACCTTTGTGATAATTATAGCTCTCAGTTGAGTTAATCACTTTAGAACAATTCTAAAGTTCTGTTGACTTCAATATATCAGCCTTAACTAAGGCTTCAAACACCTTAACCATCGGAGTCTTAACTTCATCTATCTTTTCCTTTACATGGCTTGTTTGCCCATCAATTAAAGCATTTATTGATGGTCTAGTATGGTTTAGGTAGAGGGTTCCTATTAACATTTAGAGTCCCTTGTTGGTTGGTCTCAAAATTTAAAACCCTCTCAATGATTAACCCATGTACTTTGCACTTTAAGGCAGTACAATTCTTAGTAAAATGACCTGAATTTCTATAATGATAATCATAAAGTGCATTAGGATCATACTATTTGGGAAATGAAGGTTTCAAAGGCTCAACAATAATAGGGGCTGGTAAATGTTTCTTGACAAGACAAGGGTATAAATTCATGTATGTCATGGGAATATGGTTAAAGGTGGGTCTTTTTTTTATATTTCTTGAAGCTCTTAGACCATTATTTGGACTAGATCTCCATTCTAGTCTTGTAGGTGTAGCAGGACAGTTACAAAAATAGGTGGGTATCCGAAAGGATAGTTAAAACTGAGGTGGATAAGCTAGTGGTTGTAGTGGTTGGTATGGTTGATATGGATGAGGGATAGAGGTAACATTATTTATAGGAGGATAATGGGTTTGGTACACTAGAATGGAGTATAGAGTGAATCCTCTAAACTGTTACCCCCCATAGTTTATCGCTTGGGCTTCATTCTTTTTTTTTTTTTAGTGTTGCACCTCTTTTTGCTCTGCTTGTCTCTCTTGCACCGAGCTTGCCATTTTTATGACATTTTCGATAATCTCACTTGATATCACCATATTTGCAAAGTTCTTGGTTGTTTTACCTATCAATCTCTCTTAGTATGGTACTTTTATAGTGTTCACAAATAAGACAATTGTCTCTTTCTCGATGAGAGGAGGTTGGACTTGTGCAACCACATCTCTTCACCTCTGTACATACTCTTTAAAACTTTTTGTTACCTTTTTTTTCATACTCTATAGAGATAGATGGTTTGGAGCTAGATCTATTACATGCCAGTATTATGTAAAGAATACCATAGTGAACTCTTACCAGGAATAAATACAAGTCCTATCTAGTTGGACATACCATCTAGCTGCAGACCCCATAAGGCTATCTTAAAATATGTGCATCAACAGCTTCTTATCATGAGCATGTGCAGCCTTTTACGATAAAACATGGTGATATGGATCATCGAGCATTTTGTGCCATCATATTTTTCAAATTCAAGGACTTTGAATTTAGATGGAATGACTATGTTTGGGACCAAACATAGCTCAGCAGCATCCGTGGAGCCACAAAAATTCATTCCCTCTACGGCCCTAAATCTTTCTTCTAATACTTTCATATTCTATTGGGCACTAGTATCTTTTACTTTCTCTAGTGTCTTTATCCCTAACTTTTCTCTCTTCTTGGGATCATCCAAATCAAGAACCAAGATTGGCTTGGGTTGTTTTTTCATCATAACGGGATTAACAAAATTTTAGAATTGACCTGGAGTAGGTGAGGATGTCATTCTTGAATAAGGATTGAAATATCCATCGAGAGTAAGAATTTGTACTCTAGTTCCTTAAGAAGGTTAGGTCAATCTGGCTCAAACTCTAGAGGTTAAACAAGATTCACCATGTCTGGCGATCGCTCTTGAAAGCTAAGATTTCCTTCCACTACTTTTTCCTTGTCAAGTTTTTTTATCATATCCATTATTATATTAAGATCCCCTCTTAGTTCTTTTTTGGAGTTTCTTCCGATTCTCTCAACTCGACTGGCCTATCTTTGTTCATGATTCTCATTTGAGTCTTGGTACTATATGAATGACGAGTTGGTTGAGTTAAAA